GTTTAAAAGTATTTGTATATTTTAATCATAATATATATTGAGCTCATATTCTTAAAAAAAAAAAAAAAGAAAAGGGGCTAATTAACTCAGGAGGAAAAGGTATAAAGTATGGGAAGGAAATCCTTAAACTTTTGGGTGCAGTGTGGGCTCCTAGGAAAGTTGCAGTTGTGCATTGCCAAGGTAATCAAAGAGGAAATGTTGTGGTTGCTCAGGGTAACTGGAGAGAATCCAGTCCTCCTTGTGGGAGTAGATCTAATCCTCAACAGTATAATAGGGAGAAGTTCATCTCAATGTAAGTGAGCCTCCTGACATAGCTTACTTAATTGAGCCTTTAAGAGTAGCTGCCTGGGAGAAACAGGAAGAGAATCCAGTCCCAGATTTAAATGCTGCCCTTCTGCCTGACCCCCTAACACAATAGGAGGCAAAATATTCCCTGCATGAAAGTAATTGGTTTAAGACTAAAGAAAGAATTTAATCCCCCAGGGGGATGGTGGAGATTTTCTGATGGCCACATAGCCATCCTGGAGATTCTAGCCCCAGCCTTTATCAGGCAGTTCCACAGGGGGACACATATTGGATATACAGCACTTGAGACAGTTCTGGGTCAGCATTTCTATGTCCCTCTGGCTCACAAGCACCACCCAGATGATCTGTGAACAATGAGAGGTTTGTGCTCACAACAGTTCTTGTCAGGGGCCAAAGCTTCCACCAAGAATCCAAACTATAGGAGAAGAACCTTTTGAAGACTTGGAAGTAGACTTCACTGAGCTACCACGCTCACTGGGCTATAAATATCTTTTGGTTTTTGTGAGCTCATACGCTGGCTGGGTAGAAGCCTTTCCAACCCATACTGAAAAGGCTATGGAGGTAGCCAGGATGCTCCTCCAGGAAATCATTCCCAGATTTGGTATCACAATAACTATTGGGTCAGCTTTTGTGGCAGAGGTGATAGAATTACTGGCCGAGAGTTTGAACATCAGATGGTGGATGCAGTTAGAGAAGATAATGCTAAGTTAGCCAATCCCAAAAAAACAAATGCTGATTTTTTTTTCTTTGATATAAGAAAGCTAATTCATAATGGGATAGGGAGGGGGAACATGGGAGGGATAGAGGAACTCTAAATAGGGTAGAGGGGTGGGAAGGAAAGGGAGCAGCAGGCAGGGGCTATTATTAATGATGGCTGAATGTGATGATCATTATTATCCAAAGTACATGTATGAGGACATGAATTGGTGTGAGTATACTATGTATACTGATAAATCCAACCTGTTTTTCTCTTAAAATTGGGAGCCATCTCGCCAAAAAGCCATGAAAAGATAATTTCGGCTTTACTATAAATTACTGCAAATTCTGAACCTGCTTGGAATGCCTGCCTGTGCCTTGAACTCACCCAAGCCGGGCTCTCTGACCAGATAGCAGCCCTCTCTGAAACTTTAGTGATGCCTCATGAATCTTGGCCTTCCCTGGCCAGATAATGACCCTGTCTGAGGCTCTAATTACCTTCATAAATCTGATGTCAGGGCCAGCAAAAATTGTGTTATGCTCGTCAGAGTTTTGCTATCTGTAACCCCACTTTGTGTAACTTTCTGGGCTATAAAGCTGGGCTGCAGGAAAGCTGCTGTCTTGTTCCCGAGGTTTTTGTGGAGAGAGGCAGCCCGGCTGGTTGAAATAATAAGCTTGCTTTAATTTGATTTTAATTGGAGTCAGTGGTCTTTTCTTGCGTCCTGATCTAACAATATAACCAGAGATATGAAAAATTGTATATGTAATATATATAATAAGAGTTGTAATGCATTCCACTGTTATATATAAATTATATATAAACATCAGATGGAATTTACATATTGCCTATGGGGTTAAAAATTGTTGGATCTGGGGAGGGGCCCTCATGAGTGAAGAATGGCTCTGGACAAGAATAAGTCTAGATACTTATTTTCTACTTCTGTACAATAAGACCCAGGAACTAAAGAGTAAAAGGCCCCAAGGCTAAGATTTGGTGAAGAATGTATTGGCAGAATTAAAACCTACAACACCCTATGGGTCAGTGAAACCCCACATAATAAAATATTGTTTTGGAATTCCACCCAGTAGCCAGAGAAATCTACTTGGTTTTGGGAAGATAACCCTGGGGATTAGGGCCTAATATGCAAAAAGCCCCATAAGAAACAAATTCTTTTTAACTGTATGTGTCCAGACACTAACAGAATCAGTTCTTTTATGGCATCCCTGAGATCCATAAATTCTGGAGTAATCTGGCTCTCTCTAACTGGAAAGCATCTGATGTACTATTTTGGATTTGTGGCATATACCTAACTCCCAACAAACTGGAGGGGAACCTGCACAGTTGGTACTATTAAACCTGGGTTTTCCCTACTGCCCAATGCAACTGGAAAAGACCTAGGGATCCTGTTGATGAGGATCTAGGGCCAAGAAAAAAGAGATCCACTGGGCAAGGGCTTGATCTGGGAGGTCACCAATCTTGGGGTAAAGATGAGTGACCACCCCAGAGGATTATTGCCACTTATGCTCCTGCTACCAGGGCACAAGATGGCAGTTGGGGCTCTAGGATTCCTATTTGCATGCTGAACAGAATTATCCACTTACAAGCTATACTAGAAATTATTACTAATCAGACTGCCACAGGCTTTGACCACATAACCACACAGCAGACCCAGATGTGAGCAGCTATCTATCAAAACTTCTTAGCATTAGATTACCTACTGGCTGAGAAAGGAGGAATATGTGGACAGATCAACAGTTCAGATTGTTGCATCCAAATAGATGACAATAGACAAGCAGTTACGGATATAGCCAACATAAGAAAACTAGCACACGTGCCAGTTCAGAACTGGAAGGGCATTAAAATTTGGGACCCAAACATGCTTTGGGGGACGGTTTTCAACTCTTGGTAGATTTAAAAGCTTAATTGGTATAGTGGGTATTCTGCTGTTAACCTGTGTATTGCTCCTATGTTTGGCTCCACTGTGCATTAAAACTATTGGATCCACTATAGAAGCCGCTGTTGAAAGGAGAACAACTAAGGTTTTGGTATTATATAAGGCTTTAAGCCAAGATGATCATAATTATGCTCTTTAATTTAAAGGATTAAATTATGAGAAGCAGTATTAAAGGGGGGAATTATAGTGGCACCCCCTTCTCCACAGAAAATCTTAACTGGGCTTCTCCAGAAATCTTCACCAGGGCTGATTTTAGGACTGTCAGCAAAAGAGTCTCTAAACAAGAGATCAATGTAGTTAAACTTCCTATCTTCCTATTGCTCTATTTTACTTGGCCACTGGCCTGGAAGAAAGCAGCACTCCAAGTGCTGGATGCCCCCTTACTAGTTTTTCACAATCATCCAGTATAGTAGTTTGTAGAAGTGTGTTTGCAAATGCAAAGTATGATTTTAAAATGAAAGATCTTTTAACAAGGTCTCTAACCTGGATCTGGGCTTCACAGAGGTATCTACATTTCTAAGATAAGTTACCAATTGGGCTCCATGGTAACAACTGACAGGGGGAAGAAGGAAAGGGGAGAAAAAGCTCGCCCCTTCTTAGGTGTTGACCTTGAAAGGTTAACTTGCCCAGAACTTTCACTGCTTTATGTGGAAAGTTGCTTTATATGAACTTCTAAGCCCCTCTCCTTACATGCTGGGTATAAAGTTCTGAAACTACCTGAACTCAAGGTTCAGGGGATTAATGAATTACAGCTAAAATTGTGTCCTCTGAACCTGGCTGCAGCCAAATAAAACTATTTCCTGCTATCTTTGGTGCCTTGCCTCTTCTGTTCCCTACAATGCTGGGACTCAATAAGTTGCTGGCCATAAGGAACAGCAGCCATTGGCATTCTTAGTCATATCTACTTTCAATTGATAAGGAGCTATAAGGAGCACTAGTCGTAGACCATGCTTAGCTATGACTGGTTACAATTGGTAGGGAGCACAGCTCCATGGACAAGCACAAAGAACATGCCCAGTTGCAATTACATCATCTCACTAGACATAACGGACATAGTTCACTGGGTTTAGCCAATCACCAACATACACCACCAACTTGGAATGGTATTTAAACTGCTTGCTCCCCATACTGAAGAGCTTCGCTGAGGACACCAGTGAGACTGGCCACCTTGGTGTTCATCCCCAGATCAACTCTTCCATTCGGTGATATCCAACCACTGGCTGGAGAGAACCACCAGACAGCATCATCTTCTGCTCTTCCACTAAGAGAAGTCACATGGCATCAAAGGTACTTTTGGGGCTTGTGGTTGCCCTAGGATCCTGTAATATGTTTGTCATGTTTAATTGCCCTAGTATGGTGTGATTTACATATAGTGTTTAATTAGTGTGTGTTGAGTGCTATGTGGGGTGTCCCAGCACACCCAACAACTTTTGCATTAATTGTTTATGTTTGATGATTGGTGTGATAAAATACACACTTGAGTTCAAAGACAACCCGCCTACAAGTAATTATCAATAGCGCTGCTCATGATAGTCACCTCAAAGGATAACCTATATAAGCCCAGGGCCTTTCTTTGTTCTCGGGGCTCATTTTCCACCAGGAAAGTGAGTCCCATGGCATCATTTCACCCATGCATTCCCTGTTCCTGCGTGAAACTTCATTCCTGAATAGAGAGCTGAGCATTCATCCCGGTCTTTTTTTTTTTTAGTTCATTTTTTAGTTTTAAGTGGACACAATATCTTTATTTTACACTTATGTGGTGCTGAGGATCAAACTCAGTGCCTCAAGCATGCTAGGCGAGCACTCTACCACTGAGCCACAACCCCAGCTCCTCAGCCCATTTTTGAACTTTATTTAGAGACAGGGTCTCACTGAATTGCTTAGCGCTTCACCATTACTGACACTGGCTTTGAACTCTTGATCCTCCTGCCTCAGCGCACCTCCCCCCGCCCCATTACAGTCTTTTTTCTGGGTTCTTGTTTTGCAAATTTTGAAGAATAAAGTCCATGGGGAAAAAAAAATTCATGGGCAATCACGAAAAGGAAGAGTTAAAGCAGCTGCGTTTATTTAAGTGACAAGAAATAGAACACTCACCATTGGGGGAAGTGGGACTGATAGCAGAAAAACTCATTTCAGGTTCTGGTCAGAGCATGAAAGACAATATTTGTGAAGTGGTTAATGAAAAGGCATTCTGGGGGACCGTAAAGAAGGAAGGGGAGAAGGGAATAGGAAACATCTTAGAATGAATGGAACATCACTTTCCTATGTACATATATGAATACACAACAAATGTAATTAATTCCACATCATGTACAATGAGAAAAATGGGAAGATGTACTCCATATATGTATAATATGTCAAAATGCATTCTATTGTCATGTTCTTAGCTATTGTCTCATAGCTAAGAACAAATTTTAAAAAAGAAAGAAAAAAAGAAAATGCATCCTGAGTACCACCCTCCTTCTTGTAACTTCCATCTGAGTTCACCTCCATCTTCCATTTTCCAACTCTGAGGTAAAGGAGCTAGCTATCTGTTGTACATTATCCTTGGTGATTAGTGGGGGCTTTTCTCACCTCCTGTTCGTCAGGGCCCTGAATTTTCACCCGGGACCTGCCTGTACCTTCCACCCAGCTCTCCCCTCCAGCTGCCTTTCCTACGTCCTCTCATTTTTCATTTAAAGCAAAAACTGTATTCTGAAAATGGATCACTGGACTGTCTATTTCTCACACTTTCAGCCGTGAACAGGACACTTATTTTTACATATCGTGGACACTTGTTGTCCTACTTACAAATCGCCTTCTACACCAGGCGAAATAGAAAAGTTTCCTGGGAGGATCAGGTTCCAACAGGGCAAGGAAATCCTGCTTGAAAAGGATTGGGTCAAGTACCTGTCACTCTGGCCCACTTCAGCCAAAGATAGGATGACATAACTGTCACTCCATAATGCTTGTACCTGGGGTAGGACTGTCCAATCCGGTGTGCAGATAGACAGGAAGGGCGGGCTTCTGCAATCTCTAGGGCTTTTCTTCCTCACCACATCCGGTCCTTCCTCCTCAGGTCAGGCATCCGCTGCTCGCGAGTGTCCGGTGCGTCTGCGCAGCCTATGAGCCCTGGGAGGACGGTGAGTCCCCCTGGAGGCCCACCGGTTAGTGTGTGCAGAGGACTGGCGGCACCCTGTCGGCACCTGCCGTGGGGACCCAGCCTGCGGGTGAGCTGCTGCGTGTGGCCGAGTCCGGGCTGGCAGGTGGCGCTGGGCCCCTGACCCCTGGGCCCGCGGGGCTGGTCCCTGTCCCCTCCCTGTTGGCGACCTCCTAGGTCATCCCTGGGCAGCCGATCCCAGAGAGCGCGGTGAGCACGTCGTGGGAAACGAGCGCGAGGACCCGAGATCTGGAAGCAGCACGCATTAGTGGCGCCAGGACCTGGGGGAAAACCCCTCAGTCCGAGCCCCGGGCTCAGCAGGGCCTTTACTTTCAGACGTAACAGCTCTGGGTTACTTCGGGCCAGAGAGTTGGTCGGTTCTATTAGAGGACGCGCTATGCCCTCTTTGTAAGGGGTCAAGCTTGTCCTCAATCTAGGGACTCAGCTCACGCAACTTAGGGACTTTTACTGCACTAAGACCAAAGGGGAGTTCTTCAGTCCCAGTTGTTTTAATTTCCCTTTTGCTGCGGAGGGTTGGTTCTTCACGACCCTGAGGTTAAATGTCAGTACACAGAGCTGCTGTTGTGTCAGAGTGCTACGCCATAGCCTGTGAGCACTTAGGCTGCCAAGTTTCCATTAAAAAAAAATAATAATAATTTTAGAAATTTTTGTCTTTATATGTGGTGCTGGGATTGAACCCAGTACCTCACACATGCCAGGCAAGCGCTCTGCCACTGAGCCACAGCCCCTGTCCCCAAGTTTCCATTGTGACTTACCACAAGCCCAGGAGAGTGTCAGGGGATCTTCAGATGTGTTCTGAGTGTGGCAGTGGGGCCCCAGTGGGGCCCCATCGACCCTCCTTTCTGGACAGAAGTAACTTGTACTCCCCACAGACACTTCCAAATGTGCAGGAAGTAGGATCTCAAACCAATTTTCCATTCTAGAACCCCACTTCTCCAAGGGCTGGCAGCAAATCCTTAAAATTCCAATTCTCTCTCAGCATTCCTCATGCTAACTGCATCTTGTGAGAAATAGAAAGTCAGGGGTTCATTTTCTGAATACAGTATTTAAACATAAATGTAAAATTGGGATGTAAGAATGGTAGCCTGAGGGTAAGAAGAGCAGGATGGAAGGTTACAAGCAGTTAACACACAACAGCACCACCGCCTGTGATATGGAAGATCAAAGTCCCTGCACCTAAACAGCTCTTGACAAATGAAGTCAGGCAAGGGGCAATCTGGACCAACAGAGGTAGAAACTTTCTGTTTAGAAATAGTAACTGGGTAAAGAAGAACTGTGTGCCAAAATACATTCACCCCAAGAAGACCTTCCTGCCACAGAGAACAGAGGGAGGTGGGGCAAGAAAAGGTGCATTTCTTTAACCCAATAGGAGACAGTAAAACCTAGCTGACATTCAGAGGACACTGCCCGCCCCAAGTCCTCAGCTAATGAGGAACTGGGGGAGGGACCTTCTGCCCTAGGATGAAATGCTGATTGTCACAGCTGTGGCTTTGCCTGCTCTACTGCATGTTGCAGACCATTCTTTGGGTTTGCACAGGTGAGCATGTGTCTCACACTCACCAGGGCACACTGTGTCAACATTTGTTCCCAAGACTGCATTCAAGTGGAGAGTGTTTTAATGGTCGTAGTTTCACTGAGTACTGGATGCCAATTTTTAAAGGGTTTTTTGTTTGTCTTGTGGTGGTTTTGTCTGTTTTTATTTTTATGTATCTGCATGTCTCCCAGGAGTGCAAAGCAGAGAGGAATGACCTGGAATTTGAGTGTTAAAAACTACTTATGCCTCTCTTGATCTTGCCCAGGAACAGACACCTTTGCAGTGTCTTTAGGCCACTTTTAGGGTCCTATGTCCTCAGGTACTTTCCTGTTTTTTTCCTGAGGCTTCCAAATGGTGCCCACAGCCATCCTGTGCCTGTCAATGTGCAGGTAATTTCAGGCCCTGGGTCAGCTCCTCCTAGAGGACAGACTGAGGTGTAGACTGCAGATTCTGAGGGGAGCAGCTGGAGATACCCAGGTCAGGCAGTGAAATGCTGGTGTTGAGGGAACATGACAGACATGGTTCTTGCCCTCTGGATTCTCAGAGCTGGAAGGAAGAACAGTTATCTCAAAGAGGAGGGAAAAGTGGCCCCAGGAAGGTGAAGGAAAACCCTACAAAGGTCTTCAGCAGCAGGAGGGGGTGGGCGGACATGCCTGGTGACAGAAGCCTGACTTGAAGCTGGAGTGTGACAGGTCAGTGTCCAGTGGTGCTGCAGCTCCCCGGGTTTGTTGTCTTAGTTAGACTTGTTCACTTATTTTAGCTTCAGTGTTTCATTAATTGTAAAAAGTAACTTATTAATAAAGCTGAAAGATTAGGAAATATTCCTAAAGGGCAAGATAGAGGTATAAGTCAGGGGGAAAAAGAAAGATCCAGACAAAAAACAAAGAAACATTTCTTCTTTTATTCCATTAGTTAAAACTTGTTTGGTAGTGTTTTTCTTTCCCAGCAGTCACCTGTGATGATTGATTACCAAATGTTATATTGGAAATAGTAATTAAATAACATGTTCGTTTTCTAAGCAAGATGGGTAAATTTGATTTTCCTACTGAAGTATTAAATGTAAGTGGCTTAAAATTTTTTCTCCTATGAACATAAACACAGAGTATGAGTGTTTTTACTGGGTTCTTTAAACACCAAGTCTGTTCTATTGAAAAGGTGACTGAGAAGAAGAGATCTTTAATCCCAGTAAGTATAATCCAAGGCCAGATGTGATCCTGCAAAAGGAGGTCACTGAAGGTCCAGTCAGAGCTCTTTGGGCAGCCTCCCCTGCAGAGGCCCAGGCTGCTCACACCAACCCTGGAAGGAGCCCTTTAGACTGAGAAGCTCTAGAGCTCTGGAAACCTGGGGTCCTCAAGCAGATGTGATGGGGGACTGGATGGGAAGGATAAGGAGAAGCCATTTCTGAGAGTGCAGTTGATATTGTCCAGGGTTGTTCACAGACTGTCCAATGAAACAAATGCAGATTTGGGTGATAAGCGACTTATTCTAAGGAGCACTGCAGGAGGGGCGGAGAACCACAGGTGAGCTCTGCAAGCACCCACAGCTCCTGCAGAAAAGGGCTGCTTTCCTAGGGAGGGGCAAACAGGGTTAGGAAGAAGCTGGAGGGGAGGGTAGCGAGGAGGGGGGGCAGGTCAGATCCCAGGTCAGAGGATGTTTCACTGGAAGTGAGCCTGTTCTATGGAGGGGCCAGGAAGACGGGTTCTATGTTGTGTTCAGCTGCCAGTGAGTCAAATTTCAGAGTCCTTGAGGAAGGAGAGAATCTTCAGCCCAGTTTGATTAACAAGGAATTGTTCTGATCCCTGAAGAGAAATTTGTTCAGCTAATTGCTTATGAGGAGAAAAAGAGGGGAGGGATTTTCTGGATCAAGGTGTGTATCTGCCATGGGTTAAAAAGGGAGCATCTTCTGAGTCATAAGGGGGAGGGGGTGTCTGTGCAGGAACTGCTCTAGCAGAATGCAGAGGAGGGGGGTTTCTTCATTTATAGTTCTTTCCTAGGATTCCCTTTGGCAGTTTCTTTTCCTTTTGGCAGTTCTAAGTTTTATCATTTATAGTAACTAAACATAAGTGATGTGCTTTGCTAAAAATAAAATCATTGAACTTGTGGAGGGGGTAATTGGAGTCCCAGTTTGTGGTTACTTGCTCTCAGCAGGGTGGCTGGCCCTCCTAAAGTGGGCCAGTGTTTTTGAGCAGTGTCCAACCTTGGTATTCCCCTGTTCTTATGGGACTTGAGTTGTTCAAGTTTGTTTTTTATGTTGACAGTTTCATTCACTTTTGTTCCCATGTGCTAACACTTCATAAAATTTGTATACATGGAACTGTCGAGTCAGCATACAGACACAGTGGTACTGAAACTTCAGGCAATGTCCCAATGGCAGTCCAATAATGAGGACAGTTTTGAGGAAAAAAAGAAAAAGATTTATCGCATTGCCAGCAGAGGAGAAACTGGGAACTCCAGTTTCAGAGGCTGTGATTCTGTCATGTGAGGGGAACAGAAGGTTACAAAGAAGTGATTCAGAGGCTGCATTCTAGTGTGCCCTGTAAGGTTTCATAATTTACTCATAGACTTGGGAGACGGCTGTTGTGGTACTGTTGCAAGTCTGAATTACATGGTTCCCGTGTTGTGTGAGCTCAAGGACAGCTAACTCCTGTTAAGATGAGAAGTATGGCAATCTGTCACCCCAAGGTTATGGAAGGGGAAAGGGAGAAGATAAAGTGGGAAAAAAACATTGTCAGATTTAAAATAAGCCACTGGGTTATGTTCAGTATGAAATGGATCCCTGATACATTTAAGTTAAGCCACAAGGTTATGTTCACAGCATGAAGTGGACCCCGATACATTTCCCATTGTCAATTTCTACCTCCCATTTCTGTGGAGAAATGGGCTACAACATCCCTAAGCTGTTTGCTCCTGAAGCTGGGTGATGAATGGGGTCTTAGAATGGAGTGTCATTTTCCTTTTGGGGACTTTCCCTGGAGCAGATGAAGAGGTGACTTGAACCTTAATGGGGACCTGGAGAAAGCCCACTCACTACAGCAATTAATAAATATTTGACTGATTGTCATAATGCTCTTTTAGTCTAGGTCTCTTTGTGAGAGCCATGTTTTGCCCTTCCACAGGATACCAGCAAGGTCTCTAACATAGTATTTCTGGGCTTGATTTAAATCAAGAGCAGTTGGCAACCCCATATCCCATTGCAGGTGGGTTCTTGGCATATATTAGCCACAGTGTTTTTAAAGGTGTGATTTACCTTCTCTGTTTTCCATGTAGATTGGGGTCTCCAGGATGCATGTAACTTTCATTGGCCATCCAATGTTTGTTCCCTTGTTAAGTCAGTTCTGCAGTGAGATTGTCCATCATCACGTCAGGATCAATTCCTTCAAAAGTACTCTAGACATTTCTAAAGACTTTTCTGTTCTGGAAGAGTCAACCTTGACCCACCTAGAGAAGGTATCTATCTACCAGTACATCAGATATCTGACATTTCCCATGGTACTCCGTACCTGGGCAGGCTCTACCTGTCAGTCTACAAAAGCCTGAGTTATTTCATGTCCTGTGCCCTTTTACATCTCATGCTCTTTTACATGGGCTGCCATTTAGTCTTTGAACTGTTCTGGTGAACAGCAGAGTTCTGATACACTTGCTGGGGTCTGGTGGCTGCATGGCCCTGCCAGCTGGGACTTGCTGAAGGTCAGCAAGGCTTCCTTCCCATGGCAAGTACTCATGCAGGTGCTCTGCCAGGGGCCAGGCTTGTGCAGGCAGGAGGAGGAGCCCATGGCAACTTTGTCTCCACCTGGCACTTCTATCCTAAGAGTCAGAAACCCCTTATTTTTTTGGCTCATTTCTCATTCTCCTCAGTACGAAAGTGTTTGTGTTGTTCCCATTCAGGAGAGGTGTGAGTCTGATGTGCAGTTGGCATCTGGATCATCCAACAGGCTGGCCTGCTCTCTCCCCATGTTTCCAGCAGGCAGTACTCTGCCTTCTGCTGTGTGGTCCAGCTGTTTTGACAGATGGCATCCTAGTCACAGCATGTCTCCCAGTGTCTAAGAGAACTGTAAGAGTTGGACATTATTTTACTAGTCTGAAAACTGCCGCAGTCTGGCTGGGCACAAATCACGAGCCACTGAAGCAGGAACAAACTTTATTTCCGAACTCCCGCGAACTCCACGCACGCGGCCTTCTCCTGGGACACACCACACAGAAATCCCTCCTCTGGCACTTCCCCAACCAATGCGAACTCTCCAGGAATCCCCGTGAGAACTCCAAAGTAGCGCGGGAACTCCAAAGTAGCGGGCCAAGGTGGACAGTAGAGGTCTAATATACAATTGAATCAATCCAGCATCATCTTAATGGCTCACCTCTCAACCAATACTATTGGCAAAATGCCAGGGGCCATTCCGACTTAGCTGTGGCTCTCAGCAGAACACCTTTTGTAAATCAGGCAGGGACCAAGTTAAGGGCTCTGACATGGCTTTGTGGACTCCAAGATTCTATTTCTGTTCCACTTTAGGAACAGGGAAAAGAGAAAAAAACACCCCAAACAAAACAAAACAAAAATAGAGACTCTTACAGCATCTAGTGAAAGCTGAGGTAGGCCTTGATGGAGTCTGTGGTTATGTTGCTTTGCTGTCTAAGTTTGAAAATTTAAGTTACCCTCAGGTGGCAATGCCCTCATTCTGCTAAGTTGGGGGAAAAATAGCCCAAATCTTCCTAAGAGAGTCAGGGACTCTCAATAAAAAAGCCAGTTAGGGCAGATTTTTATGAGTGACCCTGACCTGCATCTATCATGGAAAAGACTTTCAGGTCTTTCGCCACATTAGTCCAAAATTAGAAACACAAACATGGCAGAGTCCTGACATTCCCAGACACCCATATAACTATCTGGTTCCTGACTTCTCTAACTCTCAAAAGAGAGCCTGCTTGCAACCTGACAGCAACTTGGGGTCTATTGGATAATCTAGAATCCCAGATGGCAACCTGTTTACAAAACTGAGACTTTTTAGTGGATACCACATATCCACATGGGGCAAGATAGATTACAGCAGCTTTAGTGTTTAAAGGCAGTATTCATGGTTGGACTGGCTATAGGCAGATCATCCACATATTTTAAAAGCCTTCTTTGATATGGCTGTAACTCTCACAGGTCTTTTTTTTAGATTCACATTAAACAGTAGAATAGGTCTTAAATCCCTGGGGTAGGATGGTCCAGCAAGGATGCAACATTGGTATCAGGTCCTTGCCACTGAAAAGCAAGTAATAATTGGGATATCCTTTCCAGAAGAATGCAAAAGAATATATCCTTTAAGTCTAGCATCATGAATCAGCCTTAGTTGCCTGGCATCAGAGCCAGTAGGGTTTGTGGACTTGGTATTGTGGGCTGAATATTCTAAGCAATATTATTTTTAGCTCTCTGCAGAATAGATGCATTATAGGGTGGAAAAACTAGCCCAATCTGTGTTTAAAGTTTTGTCCAGAAGAGAATGGATGTCCATCAGTGCCTTCTCTTAAAAGGGGATGTTATTTATTCCTGGGATGAGTTAACAACTCCTAAACAAAAGCTGGTTGGGATAACATTGGTTGCACTTTGCAGACTCCATTCAGCCTTAATGGCTTTTTTCCTAGACCTCCAGTAGATCAGGTAATTTCCTTTTCCTTGATTGAAACTGAAAGCAGAGCCTGTGTTCTGTTGGCACTTTATATGAAATCATTGCTTTTTGGGTGTGATAACCATCTCACCCCAATAGGATTTAATTCACAAAACCAATCTTGTCCTAGGAGAGAGATTGGGCAATCCAGCACATAGAAAAGCTGTGCTAAACTGGGTGCAGTGGTACATGCCTGTAATCCCATCAAGGCAAGATAATACAGGCAGATGTAAGTTTGAGACTAGCCTCAGCAATTTTGCAAGGCCCTAATCAGCTTTGTGAGATCTTGTCTCGAAATGTAAAAAGGACCCAGAATGGAGCTCAGTGGTTCAGTGCCCCTTGGTTTCATCTGCAGTACCAAAAAACAAATGAACATAAAAGGAAGTGTACCTAATTTTTTTTTATGTTGCATTCAAGGGGTTTGAATACAAGATATTGTTGAGTCTGACCTGGCTTATTTATTATTATCCCTTATCCCTTATTAGCCATCTACTTTAAGTGTGTTCCCCACTGTCATTTGTACCCAGAGGTGCTTTCTGGATTTTTTCTTATAGTAAGCGTATTGATATTCCATGGAGGAGGCCCTTTCCATGCTTTTTTTCCTTGGTATTGGGAACATACTATGATGCTTAGGTCTCAGGAGTCTTCATCTCCTCAGCATGGAAGGGGGTTGCCCAAAATACCAGCCCATGAAGCCAGAGCTGGGGCTGCTGTTGACCCTTCCCTGGACTTCAGTTAGTTATTGAAAGCTTGTTTGTGTTTGTTCCCAATGCCAGTCTAGTAACAAGGACATGACTCTGAGAAAAAGAAGAAAAATAATTTTTTTTTTGCTTTCAAAAAAGAAACACATGGGACTACTGTTCCAGAGGCTGTGGTTCTGTCCCCTGGGGGAACAGAGAACTTTTAAAGGGGTGGTTCAAAGACTGCATCCCAGGGTGCCCTGTTGGGGGCCATAATTCACTCGTAGACTTGGTAGATAGTAGATGGAACTGTTTCTGAGTTCTTCTGGCATCATCCCTCCAGACATCTGGTGTGTATGCTCAAGGACAGGGAACTTGGCCTAGGATGGAAAGAAGGGTGGGTAGTCTTGCTTCCCCAAGGTTAGGAAGGGGGAAAGAGAGAAGAGAAAGGAAAAAAATGTCAGTTTTTAAAAACTGCAGTGACAGGGAGGGTTATTTTTGAAGCTTAAAGTGGACCTATGTTACAAGAGAGAGGAGTTTGTTTTGTGCTTCTTCTGGTTCTTATCTTCCCTAGACACAGACCCTTCCCTCATCAGTGACTTTGGGCAAAAAGTCCCTTGAGGAACTTGACAGGGTGGTGTGTCCTCAACCTCTGGCTTGTCCTATTGGGTTGAGGTCAGCACTGTCTGGAGCTGCCCTGTGTCTTGCAGGGTGCAGTCTATTTTAGGCCCTGGGCCAGCTCCCATAGGCCAGGTCTCTAGTGTATACAGTAGTCACAGGAAGTTTTCAGGGAATCTGGAATCAGTTGGGGTTCTATATAATGTAGGAGTGGCATGCAGAGTCCCTGTTTATTTATTTATTTATTTAAATTTTTTTAGTTGTAGATGGACACAATATCTTTATTTATTATTTTTATGTGGGGTTGAGGATTGAACCCAGGGCCTCACACTTGCTAGGCAAGTGCTCTACCACTGAGCCACAACCCCTGCCCCCTCTGTTGATTCATTTTATTTTATTCAGTCCCCTTTATTTCTCCCAGGAGTAGTGAATTTACCTGTTCACACTATTCCAAATGTGCAGGAAGCAGGGTCTCCAACCCATCTTCCCTCCAATACCTGGACCTCCTTAGGGCTGGCAGCAAACCTATAATATTCCAGTTCCTGAAACAGGCTGAAATTGAGGGTCACTCCTACCTTTTCCAGGTTGCTCTGCCTCTGAATTACCCTTGGGCCTGAGAGGGCTGCTCCTCCTCCAGCTGCTAAGTGTCACAACTTGGGCTCTGTCGAGGTGAGTAAATCTGCACATGTTTATTGCCTATTCTTTCTCACTTTGCTGCTTTTCTCATATATGTTTTCTTTTCTGTCACTTTAGTTATCTGAAGATGAAAAATAGAAACAAATCATTCTATCTTCCTTCAAAACTGGCTTTGCATAGAATGTATTGCCAGTTTGACTTGAAGTATTTGTGGAGCCTGAGTAGTAGTAGAGTCCTCCCTTTTTTTTTTTAACTGTGGGTGAATATTTCCTGTGAGTGGAAAGACTAGAATCACCTGGAACTTCACTTTAAAAGGACTTATGAAGAGAAAAATGAAGGAAGAAAGTGTAAGGTTAATGTTCTCTCCTGTCAGAGTTAAACCTGTAGGACTGGGGCAGTAGCTTAGTGGTAGAGCCCCTGTCTAGCATGCAGGAGGCTCCAGGTTCATTCCCCAGCACCACCAAAGACAAAGGAAAAAAATAAAAGTTGATCTGTAGTCTGGTGAGTTTCCTAATATGTGACTTTAAAAAAAGTCTATAAAAGTTAAATTTCACAATGTATAGTTAGGTAGAGCCAATTTCAGTTATAAACCTTATGGTTAAAGTATAGCCATTGTGGGGCTAGGGTTGTAGCTCAGTGGTAGAGCACTTGTGTAGCTAGCAAGTGTGAAGCCCTGGGTCTGATCCCCAGCACTGCATAAAAACTAAATAAACAAAATAAAAGGTATTGTGTCCATCTACAACCAAAAATATATTGTTGTTTTTTTTTTAATGTAGCCATTGTGAACTGCCCAACATGTACAGCATGTATCCACATGTGGGCAGGAGTGTATACCCTGGCCCTGGTCACATCCCCAGCTATAATCCTCCTTTGTTCTCAGACTTCCAATCATAATGCTGTAGTGTCCTGAGTGATCCAGTCCTAACTATAGTCCTTCCCTTCTGTAATTTTAAATTAGCCAGTTGTGTGGATTTTGACCCAAGCTCCTTCTGCAGAGCAAGGGTCAGTGCTGTGTCAGGGATAAATAAGGTGGATTGTCTGCCAAACCAGGTGTGCTTGCTTGCCAGACTTTGTTTGGTAGCATGCCTTCTGCTGAAGTAAAGTTGGCCTTGCTCAGCTACCTCCAAGGTGTGTCTTATTGCTCAGGACAGCTGCCATTTCTAACAGAAGGAATGAAGAAAGACAGAAAGTAATGAATAAAATATTAATTTTTTAAAAGAAGCACTTATGCCTTTCTTTCCTAGACACAAACGCTATATCAGTGTCTGAGCAGAGGTTTCCCTTTGGAAACTGTACTGGATGCTGTGTCCTCAGCCACTGTTTTATCTCATGTCATGCATGTCCTCACTGCCTGGGGCTCCCACATCATGCCTCAGACTCTGCATTTTATTCTAGGAGTTTCATAGCTTCTGGTCTGATTCCCAGGTCTTTGATCCATTGCATTTGAATTTGTGCAGGATGGGAGAAAGGGTCTAATTTCATTTTTCTTTTATATATGGGTAACAAAATTCCCCAGCACCACTGGTTATAGGGGCTGTGTTTTCTCCAGTGTCTGGTTTTGCCATCTTTGTCAGGGATCAGATAACTGTATCTAAGTGGGTTTTTCTCCGCGTCTTCTAATCTGTACCTGTGGTCCTTGTGCCTGTTTTTATGCCAGTACTGTTATGGTTTGGATGTGAGGTGTCCCCCAAAAGCTCACACGTGAGCCAGTGCTTGAAGGTTTCAAGGAGAAATGATTGGGTTGTAAGAATCTTGACCTGATCAGTGAATTCATCCCCTGATAGGGATTAACTGAATGAAAACTGAAGTGGTAGGGTGTGGCTGGATTGTATGGGAACTGGGGCATGGCTGTGTATTTGTATCTGGCCAAAGGAGACTCTCTGTTTCCAGATCACTATGTAAGCTACTTCCCGCTGCCACACTCTCCCTCCACTATGTTCTACCTGGTGCCCCAAGGAATTGGCCACTCTTCTTGGGCCTAAGGCCCCTGAAACCATGAGCCCTCAAATAAACTTTTCCTCCTCCATAGCTGTTCTGGTCAGATCCAAAATATAGTCACATAGCAAAAAAGCTGACTAAAAGAAGTATCACGCAGTTTTCATTAGTAAAGTACTTTGTATGTTCATGAGGATTGCACTGAATCTATATAGTGCCTTTCATGGTGTGGATATTTTGACAGTATTAATTATTCCTATCCATGAACGTGGGGGTCGTTCCACCTTCTCATTTCTTCAGAACTGTTCCATATTCAGTGTTTCATATTTTCCTTATAGAGGTTTTTTTCTTTCTTGGTTACATTTATTTGTTTTTAAAATTTTGTTTACAAGGGGCTATTTTGAGTGGAATTGATGTCCCCCATGTCTTCTCTGCAGATTCATTATTGGTGTACAAGAGAGCCATTGGTTTTTGTGTGTTCACTTTGTAACTGGCTACTTTGCTGAATTTTTAAAAAATCTTTTATTTCTTTATTTTTTAGTTCGACACAAAACCTTTACTTTATTTATTTTTATGTGGTGCTAAGGATTGAACGCAGTACCTCACATGTGTAGACAAGCGCTCTACCTACCGCTAAACTACAACCCCAGTCCTACTTTGCTCAATTTATTTATTAGCTCTAACAATCTTCTGGTGGAACTTCTGGTGGTGGTCTTCTCAGTTAAGATTATATCACTTGCAGTGATGACTTTACTTCTTCCTTTCCTAATTTTGCCCATTTCCTTCTCTTGCTTAATTACTCTGACTAGAATTTCTAGTACCATATTGAATAAGAATGAGAGCGTGAGCATCCTTGTTCCAGATTTAGAGAAAATGCTTTCAGTTTTCCTCCATTCACTGCAATGTTGGGTTTGTGGTACATGGCCCTTATCATGTTGAGACAGATTCCTCTGTCTTCACTTTTTTCAGTGTTCTTGTCATGAATGGGGGCTGGATTTTGTCAAAGCCTACTGCTGCGTATATTGAGATGACTAAGATTTTTTTCCCCTTATTTTAATTTTTTTAAAAATAATTTTAGTCTTAGATGTTCACAATACCTTTATTTTGTCTTTTTATTTTTTTATGTGGTGCTGGGTATCAAACCCAGCACCTCACATGTGCTAGACAAGTGCTCTACCACTGAGCCACAGCCCCAACTCCCAAATTTTATTTTTGTGGTGAATTACTTTTATTGATTTGTGTATGTTAAAACATCCCTTCTAAGGTACACTCATACATTGCTGGTGGGACTGCAAATTAGTGCAACCACTATGGAAATCAGTGTGAAGTTTCCTCAGAAAATTGGCATTGGAACTACCATTTGACCCAGTTATCCCACTTTTTGGTTTATACCCAAAGGACTTAAAATCAGCATACTATAGTGATGCAGCCACATCAACATTTATAGCAGCTCAATTCACAATAACTAACCTATAAAACCAACCTAGGTGTCCCTCAATATATGAATGGATAAAGAAAATGTGGTATATATACTCAATGGAATATTTCACAGCTTTAAAGAAAAGTAAAATTATGGAGTTTGTCAGTAAATGGTTGGAGTTGGAGAATATCATGCTAAGTGAAATAAGCCAATCCCACAAAACCAAAGGCTGAATGTTTTAACTAATATGTGGATGCTAATTCACAATAAGGCGGGGGGCACTAGGGAAGAATAGTGTTGCCTTAGATTAGGTAGAGGGAAATGATGGGAGGGAAGGGGAGGGGATGTGGGGATAGAAAAGATAGTAGAATGAAACAGACATTATTACTGAATGTATAAATGAGACTGCAGGAACAATATGATTCTACAACATGTACACTCAGAAAAATAAGAAATTGTATCTCACCTATGTATGATATATCAAAGTGCATAAATGCATTCTACTGTCATGTATGACTAATTAAAACAAAACAAAACAAAATATCCTTTCTACCCTGGGATAAAACCAATTTGATCATAATGCACAATCTTCTTAATATGTTGAATGTAACTTGTTTCTATTTCTTTAATTAATTTTTATCTAAGTTCATTAGGTATATTGGTCTATAATTAGTTTTGCTTGATGTGTCCTTAATGTTTTTTTGGTATGAGTGTAATTCTAGCTTCATAGAATAAATTTGGAAGTATTCCATCCTTTTATGTTCTATGGAATAATTTGAGGAGTGTTTGTATTAGTTCTTTAAAAGTCTGGTAGAATTCAGCTGAGAATCCACGTAGTCTTGGGCTTACTTTATCGGAGGATTTTTTTATTACGGATATCACCAGTTATCAGTGATGAGTTCTGCTTCCTCAAGGATTGAGGCTTGAACATTAGAGAAAAGCATTGAGGCATGCATAGAAAGTAGGTTTTATTTAAAAAATAGTAACAGAGACTTCTCCCAGAAGGGAGAAGGGGGCCATAGCTGCTGTCCTGGTATCCCAAGAAGTGAGAGTGTCCTGCCCCATTCACACATTTTAGATTTTCTTTGTTGTCCTGCTGTCTTCCCCTGTATCTGTCTCTTTTCTGTGTATGTGATTAGGCCCAGGAGATGCCTGGTGGGATGGCCAAAAGGTGGGAAGTAGATGGGCAGGTGGAGGGCCAAATGAAGTGATCCAGGCTGAAAGACGCCCAGAGGGCATGAATTAGCAGCTCCCCTTCTGCTCAGGGTGTGCTTTATCAACAACCTCCTGGAAATGGCAGTATGGGCAAGTAATCTTTGTAATCAAAAGACTCTGAATGCATTAAATCTCCAATCTCCCAGGGGTGGTCTCCAACTTTCTAGACCCAAACAAGCCTCCATTTTCTTGATCTCACCCAATTACATATCTATACTGATTGCCTGTCCTTAATTCTTGCTTCATTCTCCCCTCTAATTTTAGGGACTCTTTATTCCTCTAAGGAAAATGGTGAGAACCACTCTTGGTGCTTTGAGATGAGGGGGGGGGGAACAACATAGGGTGGGGCAAGCAGCATGGAGTTCCCTTTGGGAAATCAGGTTGGTCCAGGGGTCTGTGGCAGAAGTCTGGTTCAGAAAGGACCGGTTATAAAGAAAGTGGGGGTGGGTGCTTATATGAGAAA